CCAACTGTACCAGGGACGACTGTAGATACTAGGAATGTCTAGTGGGCGCTACCGGCGGCTGCACGGAGATGTCATCAAGAACCTACCAACTACTCAACGATCGCAGTCACGTATGCCGCCACGTTGTGACACATCCGCAACGCAACGTGAGAGAAAATAGCCTAAAATTAACTCAATAACATTGTCGATGAACTAATTCTCCTTTCTGGTCTACTAACCACGATACGTCTGTCTAAACTCGATTATTAGTGCCCTCAATTAAACCATTTCCGGAAACCGCTTGGATTTAGCGCCCAACTTCCTACACTGTTGCACGAATGGATACTCCGGAAGATAGCACAGCTAACTGACTTGTTGAAGTTATAACCTGTAGTGATGAACACAAATAAGTACATTTGGGCGAGCAATCCGCACAGGATTTATAATAAGCAATAAATATGGCAACTACTTATTCTGTTTTGCATGGCGCCATGTTAAATCCGCAACCCTTCTGCCAATAGGTTTTTACCCTGTCGCCATACCGAAGTGCATTTTATTTTGTCTGTATATGTTTTCCTCTTTGGCAGTTCCTTTCCAATTAAGCGCGTGCTTTCTTTACTCGTCATAAACCATTATTTCATTGTATTTAGGAAGAAAGCCGATACCTAATAGTAGACGCATGAAATAGCAGTGAATATTAATTTTCACATTCCATTAAACCAGCTTTCATAGATTAGTGGAATAAGTTACCATCAGCCGGGCGGTCAGCCCTCATTTGCTCAGCGCAAGAGAATGTAACAAAAATGCGTCTACATAGCTGAGGAAGCAGGGAATTTAGTCGGTTTATCAGAATCGAAACCCCCCTATTCTTTATACAAAAAGTGAAGTGGCGTGGGTAAGTATAGTTTATAACTCAGTGTAGCTTAACTAGAAAGGGAACTATTAGTCTAACTTTTATCACCACCCCCTGGTCATCTCCTTTCGGAGCTCTGCCAGAAGGTGGCCCTCGACATATCCTAAGCATGATCTGAGAAAGGGGTCATTTATACACAGACAATCTGCGTAGCAGTAACATAGGGTATGCCTTTGTGGATAAGGCTGGCAATCGTAGTTGGCAATGCGTGCTTCAAGCATGTTTTGGGTGGAGGACAGCGGCGGCTCGAGTTACGCCGTGCTGGTCTGGTATCTTTGAGTTCTCTTTGATCGCAGTTGAGGCGAAACGAAACAAGAGTTGATCGAAAGCCATTGTTATTCGACCGAAAACTATTCCAGTTAAAGCTAGCCCGAAGAGAATGTACGCAATGGAAATGATCGTGAATAGCGTATCTACTTCCGGGACGATATCACCGAAACCGACAGTAGTGATAGTGATGAACGCAAAATAGATTGCGTCTGTGGCATTCCAGCGGAAGAGTTTGCTGCCGGCCATGTAAGCGTACATAACTCCACCGATGAGAATATAGGCCACCAGCACTAGTAAGCAAGGAAACACCTGAAAGGAAGAGAAGGTGGAAAATTTAGTTCAACCAATTTGTAGAGTTGTCATTATTTCTTTCAATACTTGCCAATAAATATACTTCGTTTTAACTCAAATAGGAATGTGGCTGATGGATATTCTCTAGGACATACTGCCATGCTAGGCCAATGGTATTCTTCTTCTCAACATTTAAGCACCACTAGCTTGTCGCGATGCTGCCCTACAATCATGACATCAATTAGATCTATCAATGTATAGTAATAGCATTGTTAACAGTGAGCAGTAAAAGAGGATCCATTTGATTGTGTCTGCAACTGTGGATACTTGAGAGGAACCTTGAGCAACTTTCTAATACTTGAGAAAGACATTATTGCAAAACATAAAGACTATTAGTTTGTGGCACACTGAGCGGTGACGGTGTCTCTGTGCTGACGTTTAAACTAACAGGGGATTACCGCTAGTAAAGCCCCTGTTATCAACCTGATATGAAAACCCACTGTGCATAGCGGTTTAAAGAGAACGGTGCGTGTTGCGCAAATTAACAAATCTGCAAACTGACACTCACTCGAAAGTTGAAGCTCCCGTCTGTCCGGCTGTACGCTTCACGCAGTCCGGTGGGAACGCTTGTGGATTCCAGCGTCATAAGATAGATCGCCTTTGAGAATCTCACCATACAGGAAGACATTCTGCTGACCAAAAGGCTGCAGATTGGTATGGTTGCCATTCCATAGATCATCGTGAACAGCCTTCCCAAATAAGTGGCAGGGAAAATATCGCCATAACCTACAACAAGTATGATTGGAATCCACTTGAAACACGAAATCGAGTACTTTCCTTAATCTCACTAATATACAGTATGAATATTCTAGAAGTGTGGGTTGCAACGACCTAGCTGTGCCTTAAACTACTGTTTTGTTCGCCCCAAATAGTGTTCAGTCCAGTTCAGTGCACCACGAGTTGTGTCCACTTCGGGAGACAGTGACCAGAATCTCATAGAGCGAATGAACTGAAGATGAGGTAATTAAGAGAATAACAAAACCGGTACTACCACTATAAACTTTGATTGAAGCGGAGACGATCTTTTTGCTTAACCTTTGACTCAGAACCCTTAACATAGACTAAGTGAATAATACCCTTTACCCAACAGACAGCCATTACTTCGGTGGAAGTTTTTGAACCACCTACGTACCAGTATATTAGTCGGATGTCGTATGCTGTAGTGGATTGGGGCTGGAGTTTATAGGTGCCACTGAAGTCAGGATCAACAGTGCACTGGTTTCAAATCTACAAGGCTTCATACCAACTTATCTTTGGCTTTCCCTGAAGTTCTGCCATGATCGTCCAGAGAAAATCAGGCGAACAATGATCACATATTGAGTCCCACGATTCATCAGCAGACGAAAACCCAACTGAAAAGATTTGTGACTTCTGGAGATCTAAAGCTTACAACGCAAAATAAAACATCGGTCTGATGATCTCACCGTCTCAGAGCGAAATATTAGTAATAAAATTTGTCTTCATGTTACTCAACTTTAGCCTTTCCTACCAAACAATACACCTATGTGCATTGTAGTGGACGTGTGGACACACTCGACTGATGCACAATTAACCGTGTACTAATGTTAACTTTCTTCTAAGTTCAGGGTTAGCTTCCTGAAGCAGCAAAAACTTTTCCAGAGTTCCTGCCTATCCCAAACAAATGCACTCACGTGTGTTTTGTGCCAAGTTAAGTACCAAATTTCATGTGTTGGATTATCAGTTGCGCAGTTTCATCACCTTCCTGAAATCCGACACGATTTCGTCCAAACTTTCTGTGAAAATTAGCGAACTAAGTTATAGCCAGTAAGAGTAAAGATGATGTGTTCGCTTCATCATTCCGTTGCGAACAGCTTTGTGTTTCTGTCCCAACAAGCTATTTTGAAGAGCTTTCAGGTTTTAGCTCAGTCTTCCTCCTCTACCCGTGCTAACTCACTGGCACAAAGTCCGACCGTTGTCAGAAGCCCAGTTTCACCTGACATACATTGTTTACCTTTGCTGTGTCCAACAAGCACTGATGTCCCAGCACGTGAAGGCCTGGGTGCTGAAGAACAGTGGAAAAGACTAAAAGGGCAATTACGAAGGAATGTTTGGCGTTTAAGTTCTTTAAGTAAATTACTAGCTAAACCACGTCAGGCTCATAATATACTTCGCTCTGCATGACCAACTTCGTCCGACCAGAGGCGTCAGAAGCATGTGATCTTCCATACGCCAGAGTCCAGTGATCCATCCCCCAAGTGTGCTGCGATCATGACGTCGAGGTTTTACAGCAACTAATTGACAGACTCCTCGACGCTGGTGAAGACTCGGTAAATGTGAGGCGAATTACTCGTCTTGCAAAGCAAGGTGATCAACAAAATCGGCCTATGAGAATCACTTTTGTGGACGAAGCCAGTCCAAGACTGATCTTGTCCTGCCTAAGTAGGTTGAAAGGTTTGAAGATCCATGTTCGTCTAGATCTGAACCCAGTAGACCGGAAGCGGCGCAAGTCTGCCATCATTGAGCTGGAAAAACCTACTGGTGAGAGGGAAACAAATCTCAGTATCGTAAATTTTCGGGTGGTTTCTAAGACGCTGCGAATCAGGATAAACAGGCTGTTCACACTTCATGCACGCCCGCCGGCTCCTGCTGCGACCTGCGAATAGCCTTCACAAACGTTTGTAGTGTTATGAACAAGCGCGATGAGCCTTGTTCTTTCGTTGCGTCTGAGCGGCCAGACGTAGTGGGACTCGCAGAGACATGGATGCATTCGGAGTTATACACCCAAGAGCTTGAACTCAGTGGTTACGCGTGCTTCCGATGCAATGAACTAAAGAATGCGCACGGTGGTGTCTTACTTTGCAGCCGGTCTTCCCTTCGTGGAAGACTTGTGAGCACGTACAAGAGTGACGATGGTTTGTGTGAGCTACTGTGGTGCTCCACCCGCCTCAGACGCGGAGAACTACTTGTGGGCGCAGTTTATCGCAGCTCCCTGAATCCTTGTTTGGTTTGGCTGCCCTATCTTCGAACCCACATGAGTCGTCCACACTTTCGACTTATGGACTATTTTAACTGTCCTCCAATACGATGGCCTGAGGTACATTTGATGCTTGGACATGGTGAGGTTGAAGCAAAGTTCGTGGGGTTGATACTTGAAACCGGTGCCTCCCAACAAATATGCCAGCAAATATGCATAACACCACGCTCAACCCCGTCCTGTCTCGACTTGATGTTAACGAGCAACGAACAACGAGTGCGTGAAGTCCGGATTCCGGAGCCCCTGGCTACAAGTGACCACTCAGTGCTCATAGCTGATAGGGAAATACGTTTGCCGTATTCAGGTCCGCTGGAACCAACTTACAACTACTGGAAAACGGACTTCGACGGTCTAGCTCGAGCCGCGAACCAACTAGATTGGTCTCTGTCCACATCTGTGTGTGTCTGCATCGGTGGAAGACTGTTGGATCCTTATAAAAGATAGATTGACATCTTTGTGTGCTCAATTTGTGCCTTTGAAATGTCGGAAGGTTGAACCGATTAAGCCTCAATGGTTTGACAAAGAGTATGGAAATCTGGCTGGGAGGCGGCGCAGTCTGTGGGACAGATTCCTCCTCTCTGGCTCTGCCAATGACTACGAAGGGTAAAACAAGTCAGCGGAACCCCTACAACAGTGCGAAACTGAATAAGTGCCGACATTTTGAAAAGCAGCTGGCAATCGCCGCGAAGACCGGCCCACATATTGAATATGTAATTCAAGCATGGCACCCATGGCTAAAGCGGAATCGTGCGGTTTTGGAGCTTCCACCACGTCGGGCGAGCAAAAATGTCAAGCGGCTGTGTCACTTGTCATAAGAACAGCGCCTCAGAGTGCTTGGCAGTTTCAGCGGACATTATGGCCGTTTCCGTGGTGACCTAATCATAATGTACCAAATTTTAAACAATACTAATCACCATTGTCATCACCTATTGAAGCTGAGTCACAACGCACAACTGAGAGGTCACTATCTCAAGTTGGCAAAACAATACCGTCGGGTGGAGTGTCGAAGAAACTTCATCTCGCTGCGTGTTTGCCACACGTGGAATACCGTCTCAGAAGTAGTTATTTCAGCCCCCACGTTAGCCGTGTTCGGAGCACGTGACGACAGTGCACTGGCCACACTACACCATATCACATAATCCAAACGACCCAACCGAACAGCATAAAAACGAAAACAAACCAACTTACCTCCATTTTTGCCCGGAAACCACAGACGATAACCTTGGATAGTACATAAAAACGAACCGGAACGCCGTAATCGGCAAGTTCGCAATTTGTAGTTGTTCATTATTTCCTATTGCCATTTTTTGCCTTTATTTTGCTCACCCCTAACCGATCATCCGGCGGGACATGTCAAGCTTCGGCAATTTTTATCCGCAATATACCATTGACGATTGAGCATCCGCTTCAGTGACGCGACTCCTGAAGCCGGCGGGTGGCATGCCAATGCCGGAGGGCCCGGACGGACAGCCCCTATCCTCCAGCACTGAGCGTGCTTCCGCGTTGGCGGCCCACTTCGCTTCTGCATTCGCAAATGACCAGGTGTCCGTTCCGAGTTCGACGTGTACCGCTTTTACCGAACTCGACAGTCTGGATTGCGGCTTTGAAGAGGTATGTCAATTACTCGCCAGCCTTGACGGCACCAAACCTGCCGAAACTGATGGGCTTCACCCACAGATTTGCAAGTCACTTTCGGCTATCTTCTCTCGTTTCGTGACTGATCTTTTCAACAGGTCGCTGTCCGCAAGTTCCTTGTCGATTGACTGAAAGTGTTCGGTGGTGAAGCCTATTCCGAAAGGCGGCGACACAAGCAAAGTAGACAAATAGAGGCCAATTTCTCTGACACCTAATTTTGCAAAGCTCGCTGAGAAAATCGTAAACAAAGGATTGCTGCAGTTGCTAGAGTAAAAAATAGGTCCTGACGCTCGCACAGCATGGTTTTATTCAAGGCCGCTCATGCATTACAAACTTGCTTGTGACAAAGCATGAGTGGTTGAAGGCAATAAGCAAGGGAAAGTCTGTCGACGTGACATTCATTGATTTCATTAAAGCGTTCGACTAGGTCAGCCATGAGGTTCTCCGTCACAAACTCAGGATGTGCGGTGTCAGTGGCGCAGTGCACCGATGGATCCGCGACTTTCTTGTTGGACGAAAATAAAGGGTGCATATCGACGACCATCTCACTGCCTGGTATCCCTCCATGTGTGGCGTGCCTCAAGGCACTGCGCTGGGGCCATCTTTGTTCGTGATCCCTATCAACGGTCTACCTCAGCTACTCTGGTCGCGTGTGCCTTGTTTGCGGACGACATGAAGATTTGGAGAGGAATTGACGCTCCCGATGATTGTGGCGTACTTCAACAAGAACTCAACCGTGTATCCACATGGTCTGCAGAAGTTCAGCTTTAGATCAATCCAGCCAAGTCTACATTTATGAGCCTGGGGAAAGGTGCTGACGGCCGAATCTACACCCTTGAAGACCAACCGCTATATCCCACACCCTTCGTGAAGGACCCAGGTACACTCTCGCGCTATGATTTGAAGTCCGTGGACAACACGAACAGGCTATGCGAACTCAAACGTAGCTTCGGCGCATTGTCTGAAGAGGTTGACACTCGCCTCTTCTGATCCATCATTAGGCCAATGCTAGAGTAAGGTTCGCCTGCCTATCTGATTACCCTAGGCGAGGCCCAAAAGATCCCGAGTTTACGGTGGGAGAAACTAGGACTCTCACC